ATATATATATATATATTTTTTTTTTTTTAATCATACTGAGCCCAAACATTATGCAAAATGAGCTGTCAACTTAAACCACTGTAATTTATGATCTTCAGAAATTCAGTGCGGTCAGGAAGGAGGATGCTGGAGAATATTACTGCAGAGCCAGGAATGAGGCTGGGTTCTCCGAATGTGGACCGCAGATGATGGAAGTTTGTGCGTATTTTGATCGCCTTTTCACATGTGATAAGGACACCCTGCAAAGCCACGATCTCACGCTTGGCCTTTTTCTGTAGATGACATCAACATTGCTGGAATCATCCTGGGCGTAGTGGTTGTGGTGACGGTCCTTCTGTGTATAACAGTGGGCATCTTCTGTGCCTATAAACGAGGCTACTTCACCAGCCAGAAGCAGACGGGAAACAAGTAAGCACACGACTTCCGTCTGAGTCACACTCTGTCTCAGAGCAGGTTTGACTCACCGTTTTATTGCTTTTTTCCATTTCATCACCCAAGGAGCTCCTGAATGTTTCCAGCTCAGTCCTAACATCACATGTAGTCTGTTCAGATCTTTGAAATACATAGTAGTGACTGTCGGCTTAAAATGTTTTGCAGATGTAAACTGACAGGTTATATTTTTTTCTCCCCAGTTACAAAGCTCCAGCAAAAGGAGATGGAGTGGACTATGTCAGAACAGAGGATGAGGTATGGGAAAATAAAGAGATGTTATTTTGTATTAAGGCTTCCAAGAGCTTAAGAAATCTCCTGGAAAGTCTAGCAGTTTAAGACAGGGAATCAGTTAAACCTCCTTCACTCAATCTTCTCTCTTTCAGGGGGATTTCCGACACAAATCCTCGTTTGTCATCTGAGAGGAGGAAGACGGGTGATGGAAGAGATGTGGAATTACGTTGAAAGTTATTGGCGCTATTATACCTCGCAGACACAAATCCCCAAAAGAGGACACCGACGTCGGAGCTGCCATTGAACGTGCCTCGCTTTACGGCACGTCTGCAAAAACACCATTTGTATTTGCCAAAGGTGACAAATAATCATGTCTGATCACTGTTTAAAGACACTAGATGTTACTTGTTTGTTTAATTCAACTTTTACAGCCCCTTTTTACTAAAATTTCACCTATTGTAAAATTTCAGTAGAACCAGACATACAGCAAGAAAACGTTTTCCTCGAATCTTCTGTCTTTTTAAAACATTTATTTTGTACTAGGTAAATTTGTCAGACTATTTTTGATGGAATATATTTTAAAATGCCTACAGAAAAAAAAAAAAAAGGTTTACTTTTTTAAATATTTGTAAAATACTAACCTGGAAGCCAGTACTTTTTTTTCAATTTGGTTGTGAAAGAAACCATTTCCACCAACTTCCCATCCTCTGTTTTAGTCATTCAACAAACAAATAGTGTACAAGACCACTCCATGTGTGGATGTTTTGCTTTCCATTCAGATTTCAAATCCTTTCAATGGTATATCCAGCGACACCGGCTTCAATCATAGGTCTTATGTACTTACTATACTGCTGGGATTTCATGTTAATAGTGAAAGGACGTTCCATGTTCATGTTTGTAGATAGTCTTAGACAGTGAGTATCTTCGGAAAAACACCAGCGAAAAAGCTGGAGAATATTTTGAAAGACCAGTGCTGCGTATCCTTGATTTTAAGTGTCCTTCTATGCTAGCTGTTTATCTTGTATATAGTGAATATACTGTCTAGGTTGTTTATTTTTATTTTTTATTTTTTTCTTCTCTTTATCTCGCTCTACATCTTTTCTTTTTTTCTTATTTGAGCGAGAAACACTCTCCATGTTACTTTTTAACATAACAGGGTTTGTTTGTTGGCTAACTGTACTGGTTGTATATATATCCACTGTGAGCTACACTGTGCATAAGAAGTTTCTGGTTTAACCAAACGTTGAACGAGGCAAATATGACACTCTTTCCATGGAAAACCGAATTGGTCATGGTAGAGAGGGGATCTGCCTTATTAAATACATTAAAAAAACAATCTGGAACAATGTACACTTACATTTTCTTCCATAGCAATGATTATGGGTAAATTTGGACTATTCACACATACTTTTGAAGATGTTAAAGGGTACAATCCGCTGAAACTAAATGCTATTGATAATATTTTATGAGTAAAACCATTTTTTTTTTTAGTCTACAATATTCTCAGAAAACTTCATAAATCATTCCTCTTAAGTGCCTTCCTCTGTAGACGGTGACAATAATGCAATTTTCAATTGTTAAATGCTGTAGCAGTTAATTGGAATATGCAGAACAATTTTTCTAATTCACATCCAATTCATCGCTCTTAAACCAGGTCAGTAATTAGAAAATAACAGGTGTTTGAGAGGAATGATAATGTTCTGTGCTCACTGTTTTGGTCACACATATCTAATATTATATATTTTATTGTAAATAGACCTGTTGTTGTGCATTGATTTGGGGATTTTTTTTTTTTATTGACGTAGATATTCTATTATGTATTAGTGCCTAAATGTAGAATGAAATAATGTTTCAGGAGGACAGAGCACTAGTGTTAATTCAGCAGATGGAATTGGATATTCATAGTTTCACTAGACATATGCGATGTATTATTGATTTATATAGTAAGTTAGAAAGCGAGGTATAGCCTACATTATGGGTCACACACAGCCCAATATCCCTGCATATGTCACTAGAGTACTGTGAGGGAAACAGAAAAAATCTGGTTTGAAAAAGGAAAAAAAAAAAAAAAGCAGGGAGAGCTGTACCAAATACTGACTGCCAAAAGAGCTTTTTCTCCAATTCCAGTATTATTCTGCTCCCAGGTCTCTTTCTTTTTTTATTTTGTTTGTAACTCTTGAGCAAGATTTTTTGGAAGCTGAGTTCAG